GATAGATGGATGGATGGATGGATGGATAGATGGATGGATAGACAGACAGACAGACAGATAGATAGATAGATAGATAGATAGATAGATGGATGGATGGATGGATGGATACATATATATAGATAGATATAGATAATTCACCACCGATTTTTTAGTTAAAGAAAGAGAAAGAGCAGGCATACATATATAAATGATGAGGTAGGCATGTTTTACCTCTGGGTTATCTGCTGCGTAATCATATTAACTATAAAAAATATATTCCATCAGTAGACCTCACTTAAAATGTGGGAAAAAGCCCTTGCATGTAAGGTCTCTGTTCCATATGCCAGCCAGTATACAATCTGGCTACGTTAGTATGTTAGCTCAAGGACAACATCTCACCAGCGGAGTTATATTTTCTAATGAATATGCATTTAATATGGTCAGGGCATATCTCAGCATAGGTTTCTGCAATAAATTCTTATCAGTACACCTGTGTGTATAATTAGGAGAGCGCCCTAACCAATAGGGTGCAAAGCTACTACTTCATCCCCGCCCGCCCTTCCCCGTCCCTCCCTTGTCGCACTCTCAGCCTCCTCCTTCTTCCATCGCGCCTCGGCTGTCTTCTCTGCCACCTTTCCTCAGTCTCCCACCCCTCTCTCTCACAACAAGCTATATTACGTGCTTTTATTTAGGCCGTACTGTACGTCTAAAACGGTGCTCGCGCATGAGCAATATCTCCCAAGAAGAAGAATATTTTGCCAAAATTATGAATTTAAAATGAAGAGGGGTTATCCCAGCATAGATTTATATAATAATATTCCATCAGTCTACCTCACTTAAGATGTGGGAAGAAGCCCTTGCATGTAAGGTCCCTGTTCCATATACCAGCCAGTACACAATCTGGCTACGTTAGTATGTTAGCGCAAGGGCAATATCTCACCAGCGGAGTTATATTTTTTAATGAATATGCATTTAATATGGTCAGGGGGTATTTCAGCATAGGTTTCTGGAATAAATTCTTATCAGTGTACCTGTGTTCATAATCAGGAGAGCGCCCTAGCCAGAACGGTGTAAAACTACTACTTCATCCCCGCCAACTCTTCCCCTTGTCTCTCTTGTCGCACGCTCAGTCTCCTTCTTCTTCCAATTTATTTAAAGATAGGTAAATGGGTTCAAACGTATTACAGGCACAGTATATGATGTACTAATCAACACATTGTTGTTAATCATACTTTCGAATATTACTCTAAATAATTTACTCTCCGAAATGTGCAAAAAACCGTTAAGCAATTCATCAAAAACTAACATGTTGCTTATTCATAAAAGTTGTCAATGCAGATTTCTAAACACATGTCTTAGATTCCTTTACATCTTACTATAAATTGGGGAATTTTTGTCTGTGTGTGTGCCCGGCTATACGTTTCCGCACCACTCAACGGATCCTCTCCAAACTTGGTCGGAACATTCTACAGATCATGACAAGTTTTCTTTTTTCTTTTCTTTTTTATCTGTTGTGATAAGTTCTGACTACCTAACGGGCATGGACTAGTACTTGTAAAAAGCTTTTACATGATTTTTTTATCACATAATCATCCCACTCAATCATTACGTCTATTATTTCATTACGTTTATTATTACATCTATAATAATTTCCAAGCATATGGGAATCACCCATCGGATGTAGCTCTAAATTAACTCCATGTTATATGGTGTTAGGGTCCTTCATCACAACGTCCACTTGACTATAAGCTTCAATTGCCTTCAGCACATTACGAAAGTGACAGGCAGTGCCCTCTCTTGCCTTAAAATTGACAAAAAGAAACAGTTAATAATTTAAATTTGCATAATACAGAACACATTATGAAATGTTTAGTCGACTACAGTTAAATCGTATAGTTTCCACTACAGTTTAGACAATAATCAAAATTGCATTTAGTTACCCAAACTCAACACTACTAATTAAGTCACACACAACAAATCTCACCTCATAGTCAGTAATGACCTTCAACTGACCCTCAGCTTGTGAGCAATGTGACTGTAAAGTCTTTAGCATTATTGCTGCTTCCTGGTCCACCGCATTCCTTTCCCGTGCAGATTTGCCACCTTCTCCTCCTCCCAGTAGAGTGGCAAGAAACTGACATGCCTTTATATCTGCCTCGTTTTCTGAAGCAAAATGACAAGACGAATCAGCTTTGCTGCCAGTAGGCTGCATGGTTTCCTGTCAATAACTATGTTAGCAATACAAACCCATTTTATATATTTTATACAGACATGCACATAAGCTTATACCTTTTGTGTGGCCAGAACTATAAATTTTGCCTGCATTGGCAAAATATGTTTATAGCAATATCTATGGGCCAACCAATGAAATGGCACTCACCCAGCTGCATTTCCTGACCTTACTGGAAGTTAAGGACAGAGAACTAGTCTAGCAAGGACAGATTTTCACACATTTTCACACACTCTATAAGTTAAAATGAAAATCGCGAGCTGGTGGGCAGGTACCTTGCAAGTCTATGTGAACTATTGCAAATACATATACATACCTGCCGGTGCAGAGTGAAGAAAATTCCACAATTCTTCAAAGGTAATACCATCAAGTATCAACGCCATCTATGGTCAGAAAAGCAAGCATCACCATTACAGGCAACGATGTTGGACAATGGGGAAAAACGAAGTCTATTTTTATTTACTCTCAATAAAATTCGATAGATACATGGATGGATGGATGGATGGATAGATGGATGAATGAATGGATGGAGGGATGGATAGATGGATGGATGGATAGATGGATGGATGGATGGAGCAAATGGAGTGGATAAGATGATGAAAGAAGGATGGATGGAGTGATGATCATGCAATGTCGAGATGGAGGGATGATGGGAAGATGAGATAGATGGATGATGGAGTGGAGGATGGACGACAGACAGACAGACAGACAGACAGACAGAACAGACAGACAGAACAGACAGATAGATAGATAGAAATAGATAGAAGATAGAAGATAGATTAGATAGAAGGTAGGATAGAAGGATAGATAAGATAGATAGAGTAGATCAATAGATAGAAAGAAGATAGATAGATAAATAGATCGATACGATAGGATAATAAGAAGATAGATAGATAGATGATAGATAGATAGATAGATAAGATCAGATAGATAGATAGAAAGTAGATAGAAGATAGATGATAGATAGATAGATAGACTAGGAAGAAGATAGAAGAATAGATGGATGGATGGATGATGGCTGCATGATGGATGGAGATGGAGGATATAGAGATAGATGGATGGATGCATGCAGCATGCATGCATGCAAGAGAGATGGATGGAAGATGATGAATGGATGAATGATGGATGGATGGAATGATGATAGATAAGATAATAGATAGATATAGGAGGAGAACAACAGACAGACAGACAGACAGACGAGAGTAAAATAAATAGATAGCTAGATATAGTAGATAGAAAGATTAGATAGAATGATGATGAGTGATGGATGGAGAAAGACAAGCAGACAGACAGAAGAGAGATAACTAGCATAGATGGATGAATGGATGGATATATATATAGATCGAATTAGAAACACCACCGAGTTTAAGTAAAGAAAGAGAAAGAAGCAGGCATCCATAAAAATGATGAGGGTAGTGGCATTTTACCCGAGTACTGCCTGGCGTATCATAGGCGTAGCCCTAGCGACTCTCCTGCAATCATCAGACATCTCTACAGAAAGCACAAGCCTGATGTAGGGGTCAGCACCTGCACTGCAGAGGTAGGCGCATGCTGCCAGACGTTCCTCGATCAGCGCAATGTGCAGCGGAGACTAGGGTATGCTCCGGGCCTCTGTCGGGTCGACGGTGGCCTATAGAATAACCGATTTAGAACAGCAAATAATTAAATAATAATTGAACTTATAAAATTATTGTTTTATTGCTGTGCTCGGTTCAAAATTATATGCCGCACACAAGTGTACGCAGGGCAGTTCGACAACCAGCTATAGCGTATTACAATAGTTAATATCCGATTTTCAAGGCGAAAGGGTGACCAAATGATGGACATGACAAAATAGAGTCTCACCACTGTCTGAATGGCAAAGCAATTCGTCAACTTTATTTGGACACATGTAACAAAATTGCAATGAATACAGCATATAAACTGAGCCCTAGTGAAAGCCATTTCTCGTATTCATAAATGGTTTTTTATTTGCGAACGTACATACACACTCACGCGTCGCTTTAATCCGATAGCAAATACCAAAGATATTCAGTACACAGGCATGATTAGTCAAATTAAATGAGTCACTGGAGCGACAGGCGATATATCAATGATCTGTTCTCCAAAAGCCTTTAATACCTACCGCATTAGTCAGATAGATTAACACGAGGCAATGTCATGCCTTTAACGGCGTGAAAGTGAGATAGCCCGCAGTTGTGCCAGCATTAATGTCGCCCGGCCGAACAGCAGCTTCTCCAGCAGCGCCATCTATTACCAAAACTGTGCCAATGTGCATCGCAGTCTTCCTGTAACGACGCCACAAATGTGAGAGCGTGCTCATTGCCAATGAAACCAATTCCAACCTTCACTGTCACTTTAAAGTACCACTTGCACACTACATCCTAGAGTCTATCAATATTGAATAGCTTCTGATAAGATAATAACCATTGCAATTACGCCCTTAATAGCCTAACCAATCAATGTAAGAAAACATTCTAAAGACCAATGCATGCTCTGATTGCAGCAGCGTCGAATGGTACGCTCGCATTAAAAACATGTTCAACTGGTCAGCGAGGAGGAACGCATGGCTTTGACTCTTACAGCGGGATGTCAAATAAAGAACTAACCACAGACATAAAAGGCGTTAGGTCTGTCTGATAGCATCCAGTAAATGCTCAACAAAAAGAACGCCTGCCTCCAGAATGTTACAACACAGAATACTAGTATAAACGACAAGCAGAACTATGCCCTGGCACCATGCAGACCACTGGCTCACACATCCTGCAACCACGTTTCCGCAACGCTTGCTAAAGAACCTTTAATGCCGTCCTCAGGACGCCTCTCTTAGCTGCTGCGTGGAATGCAGTTGTTTCCCGCATTCGTCTGCCAGTTGAGCTAGTGCAAGTATTCTACAGCAAATACTCAATCACTCAATATGTTTAGCGTGCCAAGATAGAAGTGGATCTGTGGAAAAAGTTGTGGCAACATCCGATTTATCTCGTATCGAGAGTACACGTGGAGAAACAGGAGGAGAGAGAGGAGAGAGAGAGAGAGAGAGAGAGAGAAAGAGAAAGAGAGAGAGAGAGAGAGAGAGAGAGAGAGAGAGAGAGAGAGAAAGAGAGAGAGCGAGAGAGAGAGGAGAGAGAGAGCGAGAGACGAGAGAAAAGAGAGAAGAGAAGAGAGATGGGAGAGAGAGAGAGAGAGACAGAGAGAGAAAGAGAGAGAAGGAGGAGAGACTATGAGCACGATAAATGATGACGCAACGCAGTACAGAGATTGCGACATAGGATGATCATCAATTACTGGAACAAACCACCTATAACCGCACGTATAAGCTTCACTCACTTCACATGCACTTCTTTACTACATACTTTCACGCATGTGTGGCAGTCGAGGGTTGGCTAAATGCAATATAAATGGAAACGACATTTAGAGTCTAACTCGTTAGCACGCTGTGTAGTTCATACGCTGCAAGGAGTGATGCCGTAATACAAACGTAAGTATCGCGACGCTCTCACAACAACAACGAGG